TTCACAAGAGAAGCCAGAATCGGATCGACACATTGAGCCGGCGATCGACACGAATCGGATCGGCGGAACTCGGCAGCCAAGTCGGGAGAAGTCGAATCGGCGGAAATCGGCAGCTTCGTATGGTCTCCGTTGAGATGGCTTCGGCTTCGGGACTCGTTCCCCGCGGGTCGCAGGCTGCGCCCACTTCCCGCAGGCGGCTCGGGGGGCGGAGGTGCGCGGGAGGACCTCTCGATCCTCTCCGCCCGCTTCGCCCTCGCGGCTTCGCTGGCCACCGGCACCGTCGGGTCAGAGCTCGCCGGAGATATGGTGAGGGCATTGGATAAGTAACTGTTGGATAATGAATCCAGGGTCTGGAAGCCAGTGCAACGCCAATCGTGGATTGGGCATGGATATCGCCGACGACCTCTGCAGAAAAGGAGTCCTCCAGGGTCCGAGGCGTTCTGGGCACATTCCTCAACGAACGCCCCCGCCGCATGAATTCCTTGTCATGTGCAACGGGCCCTTTATCAATTTCCTTTAAATTCGACACACACGTCGGGAAAAAGCCAATTAGTCAACCCATACATCGGGCAGTCCAACACTGAGCCAGTGGCCGAAAACACGCAGAACGCCTACAACTATCTTGCTGTTCATACTGAATGCCTATCATGCTGAACATTGTTCTGCCATAGATTGATGGTAGGAGTCCTGATGCCATGACATGTCAACTCGTCTACTCAATCCCGCCGCTGGCCGAAAACATGGAAAGGCAACACGCTTCAAAGTCCAGTATGTGCACATAACACCCGAGTGCCGAGCTATACTCAGACCCGCCACCGTGCCTCTGGGTATGGAGCTGGCGTGTCCTCAGGTTCTTTACCCAATCCGCCTCAGTCCTCACTCCTGAAGAGCAATTCGGTGGGGCCAGGAGCCACAGGGGAGGAGGAGGAGGAGGAGGAGGAGGAGGAGGAGGAGGAGGAGGAGAAGGAGGAGGAGGAGGAGCATGGAGCCCTGACCCCAAATCCCGAAATCTCTCCCAAGGCTTCCCGCGTGCCCCCTGGGGCTTCCCGCGCGCCCCCCTGGGCTTTGCCAAGTGGTGGCGCGGGACTTCTCGGGCCCAAAGAGGGCCCCGAGACGGGCCATGAGAGCTCCGAGAGGCCCCGAAGACGGTCCAAGAGGGCCTCGAGTCGCCGAATGATCGCTCGAAGACGTCCAACACGGCCTCCAGATTGCCGAGGAGGCCTCCAAGACGCCCCAGGAAGCCTCCAAGAGGCCTCCCAATAGGGCCCCAAGAGGTCCGAATCATCTACTTCCCTCAGATTTTTGAAAGATTTTGGCGTTCTCGCTGTTTCGACTTCCCGATACCCCCAGACGGCCCTAGAGGCCCCCAAGACCGCCCCAAGACAGCCCAAGAGGCCTCCAAGAGGGCCCCAAAACGGTCCAAGCGGGCGCGCCCAAAACGGCCCAAGAGGGCTCCAAGACGGCTCCAAAACGGGCCCCAATAGGCGCCCAGGAGGCCCCAAGAGGCCCCCAAGAGGCCCCAAGAGGCCCCCATGAGGCCCAACTGAGGCCCCCAAGAGGCGTCCAAACTGCCTCCAAGAGGCCCCCGAGAAGCTTCCCACGAGATCCCAAAGAATACTCAATGGGCTTTATACCAACAACCAGGCACGGTGGCGGGATGTGCCGAAGGCCATCAGATCCGCCGCCCCCTGTCGATTCATCGCAGGGGTGCCTGGCGTGCTAGACCCTCTCGGTTTTGGTTTTGGTTCTTTTTCAAAAGAACTCTCCCAGTGGGCTCCGGCGCGTCCCGCCGGGGCCGCGGAAGGCCCCGAAACGAGCTCAACGACCGAAACAAATCCTCCAAGATGGCTCGAGATGGCCTCCCAGACGGCCAAGATGGCCTCCAAGACGGCTCAGATGTCCCCAAGATGCCGCCAAGACGGCCCAAGATGTACCCAAGACGGCCTAAGATAGCCTCAAGATGGCCCAAGGCGGCCCAAGAGGCCCCTAAGAGGCCTCAAGGAAAGCCCTAGAGCCCTCCAAGAGGTCCTCCAGGAGGGCCCGAAGAGGCCAAAATCATTGATTTTCTTGAGGGTTTTGAAGGATTTTGGAATTTGCTTCTTCTCGGCATTCCGACGGGCCAAGACGGCCCAAGAGGCCCCAAAGATCGCCCAAGAGGTCCCCAAGAGGGCCCCATGACGGCCCAAGTGGCCTCCAAGATGGCCCCAAGACGGCCCAAGAGGCCTCCAACACGCCCAAGATGGCCTCCAAGGCGCCCAAGATGGCCTCCAAGACGGCCCCGAAGCGCCCCAAGAGGGTCCCCCCCCCCGTTGGCCCAGTAAGTCGGCTCCCGACGGCGTCAGACGTGCCAGGAACCCACCAAGATGGCCGAAGTTGGCTCGAAGCTGGCCCAAGACGGCCCAAGAGGCCCCCAAGAGGGCCTCCAGGAAGGCCAGAAGAGGCCAAACACATAAATTTTCCTGAGGTTTTTGACGGATTTTGGCATTTCCTTCTTTTCGGCCTTCCGACGGCCCGAGACGGCCCAAGAGCCCCCCAAGATCACCGAAAGATCGCCCAAGAGGCCTCCAAGACGGCCAAGATGACCTTCAAGATGCCCACGTGTTCCCCGAAGGCTTTCCAAGCCGATTCGAGGAACACATGGTCCGATGGCTTGGCAGGTCTGGCCTCAACGTTCGGCCACATAGGCGCTTCCAAAAAGGCAGGGGGCGGAGGTGACTCGCCGTAGGCGTCTTAGATCCGCCGCCCCCTGTCGATTCATCGCAGGGGTGTCTGGCGTGCCGAATTATTACGGTTTTGGTTTTGGTTCTTTGTCTAAAAGAACTCCACCTGGGGCTTCGGCCCGTCCCGCCGGCTGCCTGCCTCGTCGGCTTTTTCGGTCAAGATGGCCCCAGATGGCCTCCAAGATGCATCCAAGACGCCAAGATGGCCTCCAAGACGGCTAAGATGGCCTCAAGACGCCTCCAAGACGGCCCAAGATGCACCCAAGACGGCCTAAGATAGCCTCAAGACGGCTCAAGACAGCCTAGGAGGCTCCCAGGAGGCCTCCAAGACGGCCCAAGAGGCCTCCAAGAGGTCCTCCCGGAGGAAGAGGCCTCCAAGATGGCCCCAGAACGGCCCAAGAGGCCCCCAAGACGGCGCAGGAGGCTTCTAAGACGCCCAAGATGGCCTCCAAGACGGCCCTGGAGCATTCCAAGAGGGCCCTAAGTCGGCCCAGAGGGGCCCCCTCAAACGGCTTCCGACGGCGTCGGACGGGCCAGAAGCCCACCAAAACGACCGAAGATGGCCCTACGATGGCCCAAGACGGCCCAAGAGGCTTCCAAGAGGGCCTCCAGGAAGGGCCAAAAAGGTCAAATTCATAAATTTCCCATGAGTTTTTGAAGGATTCTGGCATTTGCTTTTTTTCTGCCTTCCGACGGCCCGAGACGGCTCAAGTGCCCCCAAAGATCGCCCAAGAGGCCCACGACGGCCCCCAGAGGCCCCCGAGACGGGCCAAAAGGCCTCCAAGACGCTCAAGATGGCCTCCAAGACGGCCCAAGAGCCCTCCAAGACGTCCTCCATGAAGGCCCGAAAGGGTCAATCCAGGCGGCCAAGATGACTTTCAAGATGCCCCCGTGTTCCCCGAAGGCTTTCCAAACCGATTCGGGGAACACATGGTCCGATAGCTTGGCAGGTCTGGCCTCAACGTTCGGCCACACAGGCGCTTCCAAAAAGACAGGGGGCGGCGGTGATTCGCCGTAGGCGTCTTAGATCCGCCGCCCCCTGGCGGCTTGCTACAAGGGTGCCCGGCGTGCTAAGCCCTTGGTTCATTTAGAGAACACCCTGGGGCTTCGGCTCGTCCCGCCGGCACGGAATAAGGACTCGTAAACTCTCCAGGTCGATTACCTTCGACTGCTCGAAAGGCCCGCAAGAGGCCTCCAAGACGGCCTCAGACCCCTCCACGACGTCTCCAGGAGCCCCGAAAGCTCGGAAACCACCTGGTCCGATAGCTCGCCCGCCTCCGTGTTCCCCGAAGGCTTTCGAAACCCACTCGGGGAAGGCGTGGCCCGATAGCTTGGCCAAGCTCAAACCCAACTTTCGGCCATGCAGGCGCTTCCAAAAAGGCAGGGGGCGGCGGTGATTCGCCGTAGGCGTCTTCGATATCAAACTTTCTGGCGACGAGCATGGAGCCTGCGCAAGCGACTCGCGCAGGGGAGAGTGACTTGCGGGAAAGGTGCACGTGGAACGGCGACGGACCTTGCCATCTTTCTATTCCGGCACCCCTCTATCTGTCGGCGGGCTTGCGTCAGCCACCTCGCCCAGCAAATACCGTTTCCAAGAATGGGCGGCAAAGAGCGGCCAACAAGGCCTCGCCCACCAGCTGTGGAAGGACCGCCAGGCTGGTCGTCCTGGCAACGGAAATGCGAGGGTTCGGTCTCCTCGCTTCTGCTCTCCGAGCCGATGCCTTGGGCCAGGGGCGTCGCGCTGCACTGGTTGCCACCGCAGCGGGATCCGCCATCGGCAGTTGCTGAGCTACCTCTCCAAGCAAGCTGCAGTCGGGGCGTTGACCTAAGGATAAGGAGCGAGGCCCCTTTGTTCCATAAGTTAACCTTCGCTTTCCTGTCGAAGACATAAAGAAAGCCTGAGGCAAGCTGTGAAACACTTGAGGAACGCGGAGCCCCTCCCCAACGAAAAGGGTTCCTTCTTCAGGGCCCCGACTGTAGACGCTAGACACCAGTGGCCGCACGCTCGGACAAGGTCGCGGCGGCCTCTGCCGCGGTCCGGCGCCGGTGCGAGAGCTGCTCTGCGCGGCCGAGGCCGCTCATCTGTCTCACCGGATCGCTCCGCTCCACCGGGAGCCTCCCCTCTCGTCAGGACTCCCCGATGACTGCTGCCTCATCAGCTCGCACATCCTCCCTCGACATTTCCATGCTGACTGGCTGCGCGGCCGCTCCCTCGACCTGTGCCTCCGCGGCACCATCTGCGCGGGCGACCTTCAAGAGGGATGGGACTCTCGACGAGCGCTAGGCCAGCGGTGAGAACGCGGCCGAGCAGACGACGCCGCCGGGGTCCTTCAGCGTGCGAAGGCACGCTCCCGAGCCCACGGACCAGACCCTCGTGCACCCGTCGTCCGAGGCGGTGAGTGCCTCCTGCCCGTCCGCCGAGAGCGCCGCCGAGTTCACCCAGTCCCGGTGGCCGACCAGCGTGCGCAGGCACTCGCCGGACTCGGCGGACCAAAGCCGCCGACGCCTGTCGGTTTTGGCGGCCGCGCACGAGGGGGTGGCGCCAGGTGGGGTGGCCTGCCGAGAAGGCTGGGGGCCTTCTCGGAAGGCACGGGGGGCCTCCCAGAAGCGCCTGGATGCTCCCGGGAGGACTTCTTGGAAGCCAGGAGGGCGTCTGCGAAGCTGCAGTTCCTCTCGGCAGCCTCCTCGCCTGCTCATGAGGCCGCTGCCCTCGCGCCCCCCCCCCCTCGTCGCGCCACCAAGTGGGGCCACCAGGCGTGTGAGGCTTTTCTGACCCCCGCCAAGGTTTTTCTTGTTGGACCAAAGTGTTCTTTGGTATCTTTTTCTGTTGTTGCTGTCGTCGTTGTCGTCGTCGTCGTCGTCGTCGTCGTCGTCGTCGTTGTTGTTGTTGTTGTTGAACATTATTACTTCTAAAGAATAATTATTGTTGGGGCCCCTGGTGCACGACCCCCCCGCCGCGCCTAGGCCGCAGCCTCATTTTCATCATTTTCGTGAGGAAGTCTCAGGCAAAACGGGTTGGTCCGGATCCGGTTGTGTTGTTACGATGGTTTTCCCTTGCAAAAAATAAGCTAAAGTGGACATTTCTTGTTCTAACATAACCAAACTTCAAGAATCCCTTGCAAAAAATAAGGTAAAGTGGACATTCGCGCGCGCAAGACGAAATCCTTCCAAAACCTTAGTTTTCGTAGCGATTTTAACATAAAAACATCAAAAAACCAATGGTTTTTCAAAAAAAAATTGTCAAAATTTCATCCCGCGCGCTCTTGCGGATTCGTAGGAAACCCAACACTTTTTTAATCATTTCTGTCAAACGGGCTTTTGCGAGCAACTTTTTCGAACTTCTGCAACAACGGTTGCGCACCTGCCAGGGCCATCATCCCTGTCAAATAATACCATGCGGGACACATTCGTTTTTTCTTCGCGCGCGCACGCCGTCGTCGTCGGCCGCGGGGCCCTGAATAGTAGCCACGGTCGTCCGCATGCCACGAAGTGAAGTGTCCGAACGTCATAGGGCGGGAAGCTGGGTGTGGGTGGTGGCGAAGAGTCGTTTGGAAATTTGGTAGAGCTTGAACCGGCCCCCCCACAAAGTGGGGGTATTGCCCGCCTCCTATGAAAACCCTGGCACTGGTGAGAACGGTGTGTCCCCACGTGCTAGTAATTGTTGTTGTTGTTGTTGTTGTTGTTGTTGTTGTTGTTGTTGTTGTTGTTGTTGTTGTTGTTGTTGAATATTATTACTTCTAAAGAAATATTATTGTTGAGACCCCTGGTGCGCGACCCCCCTCCAAAACCTAGGCCGCAGCCTCATTTCCTTCATTTTCTAGCGAAAGCTTCAGAAAAGTGGATTGTGTCCGGATCCGGTTGTTTTGTTGTAATCCGTTTTCCCTTGCAAAAAACACTATAAAATGAAAATTCTTGTTCTTACTTGATCAAATTGCAAGAATCCCTTGCAAAAAATAAGGTAAAGTGGACATTCGTGCGCGCAAGACGAAATCCTTCCAAAACCTTAGGTTTCGTAGCGATTTTAACATAAAAACATCAAAAACCCAATGGTTTTTTAAGAAAAAATTGTCAAAATGTCCTTCCGCGCGCGCTGTCCGAATCCCACAAAACCAATGGTTTTTCAACATTTATGTTACATGAGCTCGCGCGAGCTACTTTTTCTTGTTCTAACATAATCAAATTTCAATAATCCCTTGCAAAAAATAAGGTACAGTGGACATTCGCGCGCGCAAGACGAAATCCTTCCAGAACCTTAGGTTTCGTAACGATTTCAACATAAAAACATCAAAAACCCAATGGTTTTTCAAAAACAAATGTCCAAATTTCATCCCGCGCGCGCTGTCCGACTCCCACAAAACCAATGGTTTTTCAACATTTATGTTACATGAGCTCGCGCGAGCTACTTTTTCTTGTTCTAACATAATCAAATTTCAATACTCCCTTGCAAAAAAAAGTAAAGTGGACATTCGCGCGCGCAAGACCAACAAAAAACACGACGATCTCAGGAACTTGCCCCAAAAATGTGACCAACTCCGCTCTCTCTGTCTCTCTCTCTGTCTGCTCTCTGTCTCTCTCTCTGTCTGTCTGTGTCATGTATTGTATGTCACAATTGCAGGATGCTGGGCACACGCGCGCCCCGAATAAGTGACCAAGTTCTGTGGGTGTGTACCCCACGCCAGTGTAGTAGCCACGGTCGTCCGCACGCCACGAAGTGAAGTGTCCCAACGTCATAGGGCGGGAAGCTGGGTTTGGGTGGTCGCGAAGAGTCGTTTGGATATTTGGTAGAGCTTGAACTGCCCCCCCACGAAGTGGGGGTATTGTCTCGCGTCGCATGAAAACCCTGGCACTGGTGAGAACACTGAGCGTTCGGGTAAAATGATTGTTGTTGTTGTTGTTGTTGTTGTGATTGTGATTGTTGTTGCTGCTGCTGTTGTTGTTGTTGTTGCCGTAAAACAGAATCTTTGGTCCCAGCTTTCTTTCTTCCCCCTGGCGGTCCCGAAGCTGTAGACCTCTAGGACCGCGGGATAGAAAAGCCTTGATGGAAAAGGGGTCCTGGGATTTGGAGGCCCTGGAACCCTGCAACGATTCAAGCGCCGGGATGCGCGCGCGAAGGTCGGGCCGCCGCGCAGACACTGCGAGTCGTTGTGCCAAGCAGCCAGGTGTGCTCCTCGGTAGTTTTTTGTCTATATATACATTATTCATTTATATATAGAGTTATACGTGTATACATACATACATATATTATATATATATATATATCTATATATATATATATATAATATATATATATATATATGTATATGTCTATATATATGATATATATATATATATAGAGGGTGTGCGCCTCGGTCGGTCTGTGACTACGGCCAGGAGCTTTCGTTTCGCGTGTCGCGGCAGCGGCCTCGGCGAAGCGCTACACCCCGCGAGCTGATGCCGTGTCGCTCCGCTCCGCGGGGTGGGCGGGGAGAGGCTCGGGGCGTCGACGCCTGGTGACCCGCACGTGGTCGGCGTGTTGTGCCGAGGTGTGGTGGACCAGAGCTGCTCAAGCGACACGCTAAGCAAACACTCCTCCTCCTCCTCCTCCCTCCTCCCTCCTCCTCCTCCCCCCCTCCTCCTTTCTCCCCCCTCTCCTCCTTCTCCTCCTCCTCCTCCTCCTCCTCCTCCTCCTCTTCCTCCTCCTCCCCTGCCCCCTGCGCTGCTGCGCCCTCCAGCCTTCCTTTTTCTCGGCCCACCCTCCTCGTGCCCTCCTGTCCATACAGCTTGTGGGAGCGGTGTCCGATGGCAAACCGCTGTGGGGTTGTGAAGCGGCGCGGCGTTGCCACACATGTGCCTGCTGGATACTGTGGGGCGGCCGAGACACCGGTGCAGTCGCCCATCGCGGAGAGCTGCCCGCGATCCTGGCGATGATCGCGGCGCGCATGCGTGGACATATCCGCGCGTGTACGGCAAACACGTATGAGATAATGAATACAGTAGGGGCCCGACCACAAGAAACCCTCCACAGGAAACCCACCCCTGAGACCCCAGGGCGTCCATGGATTTTTGGTGTGGGAGCGTCGCGCTCTCCACAGCAAGACCATCGAAACCCCAAAAACCCAGGGCACCCTGGACTTAGGTCGGGCATGTCCCCCTACAGGCGGATTTTGGGCCAAAAACTACTCAAAGATACTCCCAAATAACTAAACGATACCAAAAAAGATCGTCCCCTTTTTTTGGAACATTAAAAAACACCTCTTTTTGAATCTGCCTCCCGTAGAGGGATAGGCCCGACTTAACCCTGGAGGCAAGCATGGTGTTTCTTGGCATGGGCCTCCACTGTATGGGGTGCATCCTGCGTCGACTTTTGAATCTCGCGGGGTGACCCCGGGGGCTCTGCGGGCCCAGCGGGCGACAAGACACTCTCGCGGGGCACCCGTTGGAAGAGCGATCTCCTATCTATTCTAGACGGGCGCGTCCCACTACTCGCACAGTAGCTACTCGCAAATGGCCTGGATCCGCCGAGGGGGATCTACGATGCACTACACCGATGCAGGCACATGATTTTCGGACGTTTGCGAGTAGGCACTTTGCGAGTAGTGGAACGCGCTCTGTGATATTCGGTGTGCCGACTGTGCGCGCAAATTTAGCGAACGCAGGGGGGGGGGGGCGTGCCGGCACGTTCGGGCTTCCAGGCGGGGGGGGGCCTCTCGGCCTCAAGGGGCCTCAAAGACGGCCGAAGGGAGCGTCATGAGACCGCCGAGAGTCGGGCACACGCTGCCTTGTATGACGGATCCGTGGATCTGGCGCGTGGAGGACTATCAGGAGGAGGAGGAGAAGGAGAGCGTGGGAAAGTGCCCCCGCCCGAAGCGCGAGGCCCCCTGAGGATAACCCCCAAAGAGCTCGGCGACAGGCCCAACATGACCCAACAGACACCGAGGCGCCCGAGGAGACATTGCAGACACTCCCTTTCCTTCTCCACCTCTTCTCTCTGTGTCCCTCTCTCTCTGGCTCTCTCTCCCTCCCTCCCTCCCTCTGTCACGCTCCTGTTCCTTCTCCTTCCTCCTTCTCCTCGTCTTGGGAGGGAGAATTGTAAGGCGAGGGGAGGGGGAGGAGATGGAGGAGGGGGAACGAACGGAACGCCGTTCCAGACACGCACATCGCGAAGCGAGGGGGATCCACAGCTGGACTGCGCCGGAAGCCAGTTGAAGCGACTCTGGAGTGGAGTTGAGTTCGCTGTAGCATGTGCATACAGAAGATGATGATGCATACGTTCGCACTGCTACCATCCCCCCATTACCTCCTCGCAGGGGCCACGCCACACCAGCCGACCCCACCCAGATTTGGTATAGATCACCGGGGGCCTTGGCTACCCTAGGCCCTACCCAAGGCCCTAGGCTTCCCAAGGGTAGGCCCTACCCAAGGCCCTAGGCTTCCCAAGGGTAGGCCCTACCCAAGGCCCTAGGCTTCCCAAGGGTAGGCCCTACCCAAGGCCCTAGGCTTCCCAAGGGTAGGCCCTACCCAAGGCCCTAGGCTTCCCAAGGGTAGGCCCTACCCAAGGCCCTAGGCTTCCCAAGGGTAGGCCCTACCCAAGGCCCTAGGCTTCCCAAGGGTAGGCCCTACCCAAGGCCCTAGGCTTCCCAAGGGTAGGCCCTACCCAGGCCTAGGCTTCCCAAGGGTAGGCCCTACCCAAGGCCCTAGGCTTCCCAAGGGGTAGCCCTAGGGTAGCCCTAGGGGTGGGCCCCAGGGGTAGCCCAGGGTAGCCCTAGGGGTAGGCCCTAGGGGTAACCCTTTATTGCGGATTACAATATGATTCCTTTGGTCGGGCGGGCGGGCGGGACATTAATAGCATTGGTTGCCTTGGTGGCGGATTACATATATTGATTCCCTGTGCGGTGGATTATCAACTGATTATTCTTGTCGGGCGGGCGGGCGGGGCACTAAAGGCATTGATTGCATGTGTGGCGGGTGGCACGCTGATTCTTATTGTGGCAGATTACACATTGATTCCTTTTGTCGGGCGGGCGGGCGGGACATTAAAGGCAATGATTGCTTGTGTGGCGAATTACGAATGGATTCTCTTTTATTGCGGATTACAAACTGATTCCTTTGGTCGGGCGGGCGGGCGGGACATTAAAAGCATTGGTTGATTTGGTGGCGGATTACAAAGTGATTCCATGTGGCAGCGGGCTACAAGTTGATTACTATTGTGGCGGATTACAAGCTGATTCTTTTGGTCGGGCGGGCGGGCGGGACATTAAAGGCATTGCTTGCTGTGCTGGCGGATTACATATTGATGCCCTTTGTGGCGGAGTGGGAGTGGAAGAGGAGGAGAAGGGGAAAGAGGAGCAGGAGGGGGAGGCGGAGGGCGACGATGACGACGACGACGACGACGACGACGACGACGACGACGACGACGACGACGACGACGACGACGACGACGACTGTCTGGGCCTGGAGCGTGCCCGGCGGGGCGCGCCTTCCTGAGCGCACGCCGACGCGAGGGAGACGCCGAGGACCGACGAAGACCTGCTCGGCCCTCGGTCTTCGAGGAGGCTTGGGCTTGGGCCCCCCTCCTCCTCCTCCTCCTCCTCCTCCTCCTCCCCCTCCTCCTCCTCCTCCTCCTCCTCCCCCCCCCCCTCGCTGACCCCCCCTCGCAGACCCCCCCTCACAGACCCCCCCTCTGGGACCCCCCCTCGCTGACCCCCCCATCGCTGACCCCCCCTCGCAGACCCCCCTCGCAGACCCCCTCTCTGGGACCCCCCCTCGCTGACCCCCCCTCTGGGACCCCCCTCACAGACCCCCCCTCGCTGACCCCCCCTCGCAGATCCCCCCTCGCTGACCCCCCCTCGCACGACGACCACAACCGACCGTCCGACTGTCCGACCGACGCGCCGGCCGAGCGGCAGTCTGACCGATCGACCGACCGACAACCCGACGACGACGACGACGACGACGACGACGACGACGACGACGACGACGACGACGACGACGACGGCGGCGGCGGCGGCGGCGACGGCGGCGGCGGCGACGACGACGACGGCGACGACGACGACGACGACGACGACGACGCAAAGCCGAGCCGATCGACGGTCGACGGGGGCGCCGTCTGGCGCCAGGGCGGCGCAGGCGGGGCTGTCACCTCCTCCTCCTCCTCCTCCTCGTCCTCCTCCTCCTCGTCCTCCCCCTCCTCCTCCTCCTCCTCTCTCCGTCCCTCCTGCTCCTCCTCCGCCCTCTCCCTCTCCCTGTCCTCCTCCTCCTCCTCCTCCTCCTCCTCCTCCTCCTCCTCGGTACTCCTCCCCCCTCATCCTCGTGCTTCTCCTCCGGCAAAGGCGGCCCTAGGGGTAGGCCCAAGGGGTAGCCCTAGGGTAGCCCTCGCTGACCCCCCCTCGCAGACCCCCCCTCACAGACCCCCCCTCTGGGACCCCCCCTCGCTGACCCCCCCATCGCTGACCCCCCCTCGCAGACCCCCCCTCGCAGACCCCCCCTCTGGGACTCCCCCTCGCTGACCCCCCCTCTGGGACCCCCCTCACAGACCCCCCCTCGCTGACCCCCCCTCTGGGACCCCCCTCGCTGACCCCCCTCGCACGACGACCACAACCGACCGTCCGACTGTCCGACCGACGCGCCCGCCGAGCGGCAGTCTGACCGATCGACCGACCGACAACCACGACGACGACGACGACGACGACGACGACGACGACGACGACGGCGGCGGCGGCGGCGGCGACGGCGGCGGCGGCGACGACGACGACGGCAACGGCGACGACGACGACGACGACGCAAAGCCGAGCCGATCGACGGTCGACGGGGGCGCCGTCTGGCGCCAGGGCGGCGCAGGCGGGGCTGTCACCTCCTCCTCCTCCTCCTCGTCCTCCTCCTCCTCGTCCTCCCCCTCCTCCTCCTCCTCCTCCGTCCCTCCTGCTCCTCCTCCGCCCTCTCCCTCTCCCTGTCCCTCCTCCTCCTCCTCCTCCTCCTCCTCCTCCTCCTCCTCGGTACTCCTCCCCCTCATCCTCGTGCTTCTCCTCCGGCAAAGGCGGCCCTAGGGGTAGGCCCAAGGGGTAGCCCTAGGGTAGCCCTAGGGGTAGGCCCTAAGGGTAGCCCTAGGGTAGCCTAGGGGTAGGCCCTAGGGGTAGGCCTAGAGTAGCCAGCCCTAGGGGTAGGCCCTAGGGGTAGGCCTAGGGTAGCCCTAGGGGTAGGCCCTAGGGGTAGCCCTAGGGTAGCCCTAGGGGTAGGCCCTAGGGGCCCTAGGGGTAGCCCTAGGGTAGCCCTAGGGGTAGGCCCTAGGGGTAGCCCTAGGGTAGCCCTAGGGGTAGGCCCTAGGGGTAGCCCTAGGGTAGCCCTAGGGGTAGCCCTAGGGGTAGGGTAGCCCTAGGGGTAGGCCCTAGGGGTAGCCCTAGGGTAGCCCTAGGGGTAGGCCCTAGGGGTAGCCCTAGGGTAGCCCTAGGGGTAGGCCCTAGGGGTAGCCCTAGGGTAGCCCTAAGGGTAGGCCCTAGGGGTATCCCTAGGGTAGCCCTAGGGGTAGGCCCTAGGGGTAGCCCTAGGGTAGCCCTAGGGGTAGGCCCTAGGGATAGCCCTAGGGTAGCCCTTCCTTGGGTGATCTATAAGCCAGATTTAGGAATCGTCTCGTGCAGGACCCATGACGGCCCAAGGGCCCAAGATGGCTCGAAGACGGCCGAAGATGACCTCAAGACGGCCCAAGGCAAGCTGAAGATGGTCAAATATGGCGTCGCTGTGCACACACATGCGCACACATAAACGCACGCAACCAGAGGGAAGAAGGATCCGCACACATACAGGTCCATACACGGAGGGTTCCACACTTGTTGCACGAATGAGCTGTTTGTGGTCCATGCGCTTACGTACTGATCATTCTTTTGGTTTCCCATGGCTTTTGGTTCCAGATGGCTCCAAAAGGGCCTCGGAAGAGCTACACAGAGCCCCAAGACATGGGCCCCGCGACAACCCAACAGGGCTCACAGACGGCCAAGATACCCCGAAGAGCTCCCAAGAAGATCACAATACGGCCAAAGAGGGCTCGAAGAGACCTTCAATATGGTCGCCCCCCAGAAGGCCCAAGAGTGAGGGCCTCAAACGGCTCCGTGACATGTCCCACAGGGAGGATGAGGATGAGGAGGAGACGCAGGACGAGGAGAAGGAGGGGAAGTGATGCATGAGGATGAGCAGGCAGGGGAAAGACGCAGATGATGGAAAAAGAAGGAAGATGACGAATCATAGGACGAGGAAGGATGAGGAGGGATCTGGACGAGGACGGAAACGGGGACATGGGAATGGGGAGGACGAGGACGAGGGGAAGAGATCCTCAGGAAGCGCTGCCACGACGGACAGCGAAGACGAGCAGGAGGGCGCGAGCCGGCAGGAGCGTAAGGGCGAGACGGACCAGGGTGACGAGGACGACGACGACGCCTATCACGATGACGATGACGACGAAGATGCCCATGACGATGATGCTGATGATGATGATGCTGCTGATGATGATGCTGATGCTGCTGATGATGATGATGATGATGCTGATGCTGATGATGATTCTGATGATGACGATGACGATGATGTTATTGTTGCTGATGATGATGTTGATGGCGATAGCGACGATTATGCTGATGGGCGGTGGACGATGATGGTGGTGATTATGATGATGATTATGCTGATGATATTTGGAAGATGCTGATGGTGGTGATGCTGATGCTGATGCTGATGCTGATGCTGATGCTGATGCTGATGACGATGGTGATGATGATGATGATGATGATGATGATGATGATGATGATGATGATGATGATGATGCTGATGCTGATGCTGATGATGATGATGATGATGATGATGATGATGATGATGATTCTGCTGCTGATGATGGTGATGATAACGCTGCTGCTGCTGCTGACGATGATGGCGACATATGATGATAACAACGATGGCAATTCTGGTGATGATCACGACGATAATGATGAGGAGGGGATAAGGGGAGGAGGGGACAGGGGAGAAGGAAGGAGGAGGAGGAGGAGGAGGAAGAGGAGGAGGAAGAGGAGGACGAGGAGGACAAGGAGCAGGAGGAGGAGGAGGAGGAGGAGCAGGAGGAGGAGAAAGAGGAGGAAGAGGAAGAGGAGGAGGAGGAGCACCCGTGAGCGGCACTGTTAGCCTCACATCCAATGCTCCCGAACTGCCCTCCATCACCGAGCGGACGGGACGGATGGATCGTTCGGACGTGACCCCGCAAAGCGGTGCACATCTTCGCCGTCCAGTCGCGCGAGGCTGTCAGCACCTCCTGTCCGTTCGGCGAGAAAACGGCCCAATTCACGCGATCCTGGTGCCCCACCAGGACGTGCAGGCGCTCTCCCGAGAGGGCGGACGAGATTTTGGCCGTCCAGTCGTGGGACGTGGTCAGCACCCCGAGCCCGTCCGGTGAGAACGTGGCCGAGTTCACGCGATCCCTGTGGGCCTGAAGCGTACGCAAATTCCTCTCAAGGGAAAGACGACGATGACAATGACCACGACTGAACGCGGAAGCGTCGATGTCGACCTTGGTCATCGTCCGTCCTGGCCATCGCCAACTCATGGACCAACCTCGCAGATCCGCGACGGCTGGTATGCGCCGTGAACAAGATCGGCGTCGTCATGATCCCGCGACATCTTGGACATAGTCATCGTGTCTCCCTCCCTCGAGCCTCCCCGAGTCTACGGACCATATCTTCGCTGTGCCATCGTCCGATGCGGTCAGCACCTCCTGCCCGCTCGGCGAGAAGGCGGCGGCACAGACGGCGCCCGAGTCCTCCAGCGTCTGGGCGCACTCCCAGTCCCCAGACCGCGCGGACCAGACCTTGGCCGACCGATCGCACGAGGCGGTGAGCAAACTCTGCCCGTCCGCCGAGAACGCGGCCGAGTACACCCAATCCTGGTGGCCCCGCAGCGTGTGCAGGCACTCGCCAGAACCGGCAGACCAGATCTTCGCCGTCCCGTCGTGCGATGCGGTCACCACCAGCCGCCCGTCCGGCGAGAACGCGGCCGAGCTCACGCGGCCCGCGTGGCCGCTCAGCGTGCGCAGGCAGTGCCCAGAGTCCTTGGACCAGACCCTCGCCGACCCGTCCAGGCACCCGGACACCACTCGCGCGGCCGCGGTCACGACCAGCGTCAGCTCGCTGCCGCTCCTGGCCCCGATGCCGGCCAGCGTCGCGCTTCCACAGAGCTCCGTCTCCCCGAGGAAGAGGCGCGCGCCCCCCTCCTGCTGCGCGGCCTGGGCCGGCAGCGCCGCGAGCACGTCGGGCAGCTGCCAGGAGGGCTCGGCGTCCAGGGCTGCGAGCTCGCGCCCTGCGCAGGTGACCACGGGCACGCGCATCATCCTGCGCGGCGGCCCACGAGCCGGGGCAACCAATAGATTGAGAGGGGCGCTGCGTGAGAGCAGGGGAACGAAAAGTGACACAAACATAAAAACGGAGGCGCGCGCGGATTTCTCGGCTCGGCGCTGGGGCCCCCCGGCGGCGCCTCTGGCGCCGCCCCCCCGCCACCTGTGGCGCGCTCCGCGCGCCTTAGGGAGGGGGGTGTTCCAGCGCCCGAATCCCGTAAGAGGAAATCCGACGCGGACCTTCGAGTTTTTTATGTCTTGTGGGTCACTTCTTACTCCTCCTCCTCCTTCCCCCCCTTCCTCCTCGTGTTCCCCCTCCTCCTCCTCCTCCTCCTCCTCCTCCTCCTCCTCCTCCTCCTCCTCCTCCTCGTTGTGCTGCTGGACAGGGGGAGCAGACAGGGCGGGGCTCGCTGCAGAGCACCTCCCTGGGCCGAGATGCTCACGGGAGCAGGGCGTGCCAGAAGAACGCACGGGCTTCGATGGGCACTTCCGCGACGCTCTCTTGCGCACTGCGCTCGCCCACAGCTCGCCCCCGCCTTCCTGCACGGGCTCCTGCCGGGCACTCCGCGCGACACTCGCCCCAGAGTTCCGGGCTCCGTGGAGAAAGCTTATGCGACGAGCCCGTCACGTGAGTGTCCGTGAGTCTGTCTGTCTGCCTGTCTGTCCGTCGACTGTCTGTCTCGAAAGAGATTTCTGCCTCGCTCTCTCTCTCTCTCTCTCTTTTTTTTCTCTCTCTCTCTCTCTCTATCTCTCTCTCTCTCTCTCTTTCTTCCCCCCTCTCTCCTCTGTCTCTCTCCCTCTTCCTCTTTCTCTTTCCTCTCTTTCTCTCTCTCTCTCTCTCTCTCCCCTCTCTATATTCTTCATACCTCTTTCTTACTCATACGTCTTTGTTCATTGTATATATATGTATATATTATCTCGTCTCCTTTCGTTCGTCAACCTTCTCTGCCTTTATCCAACATATAACTATACTAACATATCCATCCTTCGGTGGCTTTTGCTGTCTCTCTGTCACTCTTTCTCTCACCCGCCCCTCTCTCTATTTCTCTTTTTGTCCATGTCGTCCCTCTCTCTTTCTCGGTCTCTGTCTCCGTCGCTATCTTTCTGTGCATGTCTTGGTCTCTCTCTCTCTCTCTCTCTCGCTCTCTCGTGCAACGAACGTTGGCGCACAGTGCTCCGACTGAAACTGGGTTTGCCTTCTTTCATCACTCGAACAAGCGCTATCCTGCATTGGGGTAGAAGCTCGGGAGCTGGACACAAGTATTACAAGCTACTTGGACGTTCTGACGCGTGCAAATGAGCCGTATCCGCCACCGTGCCGGCACGGAGTGGTCGTGTTAGAATGCTCGTCTGTTGCCTGATAAAAGGTGTGTGTGTGTGTGTGTGTGCGTGTGCGCGTGTTTGTGTGTCGTCCTCAGGTTTCTGGCTGCTCTATGTCCACGTTTGGGGTTACAGTCCCTCTCACACACCACCCATCGTTGCACTTTCAGTGTGGGACGTCCTCGACTCCATCTGCTGCTCGCGATTGGGGAACCTCTGCGCCGCTGACTTGCAGAGTGTGTGTTCTGTGGTCGACCCTCCCCCCCCCACCAGCGCGCATCCTT